GTCTATTAAAATAAAATATTGAGAATGCTATGTAACCAGAATTGATTCCAAATCAAACAACCATCAAAAGAGCCTTAAGTGGAAGATCACTTTGGCTAATGGAATCGAAGCACATGGTGTTCTATTGTTCAAAGAAGATATTCAAATGTTAAAACACCAAATGAATGTGGAACGCAAACATATCCTAGTGGAATATCCTTGCAACAGTGAAATATTTTTCCCCATACCCAACCGAAAAAAAACTCTGGTGTTAAGGCTTTACTGGCTGCATCGATAAGAAATCGTCAATGATGATGATGATGATGAAAAGGAACAGGATCCGAAATTCGAACAAATGAAATCGTCTTTAATTGTTTGCGTAGTTTCCAATGAAAAATGTTTATGATTTCGCCTTGTGTACATGTGCCATTTCGAAAACAAAAAATACCTATACACACAGCGGCTATGGGCATATGGTCCTGTGACCAGCGGAGTAACAAAAATACTTTTCCATCCCTTGTTTTGTGATCATATGCTGTGTTTTTTCACTAAGGGCCTCCTTTACACATGTCTGTCTGGGATGACTATTCACTTTCTGCTCACCATTGTAAGGACATTTGTTTTGGTTGAATTTGTGTTTTACCTGTGCTGCAAGCAAGGTTTACAATTTCGATTTTTACCTGTAACCGTGAAAAAAACTGTAAAGGTATTTTGCTATAGATGCTTATTGGGGGTTTCTACGATTTTCGATTTGAAGGTGGTGCAGCGCCGGACCATCAGCTTCAACTCACCATCAGTGTCTTTGTGTTGTTACTTTGTGCCAAAAAAAACACACACACACACACCAACCCTTGGCTTGGTTTTTGGGTAATTTGGTTTCTATCCAAAAGGTGTGTGCGAGCAATAGTCAAGGTCCTGCTGTTTTTGTTAAAATCATTTCTATAAATTAAATCGTTTTTATTACCGATAGGTTTTTTAGTCAGACCGGTTGATTTCTACCTCTCGAGGGTTTTTTGTTAGTTGCACATTGATGCTATGGAGGAAGAGGGGATTTTATCGTTGATATTCCTTTTTTAATATTCACTGCATGTCCTTGTTGTTCGATTTCAATGCTGCAGACACTGGATTGTAACAGGTACATTTTTTCCTTTCATTGTGTGATATTTGAAAACGAAATTGGGATTGAAACAAGTGCACTTTCTTAAAAATTCTGAAAACAGGACTATCGAATACGTGAGGTATTAAGAAATCTATGTAGTCTACAACTCAAAGGATATTGTTGTAATTTATTGCCAATGAATGTTGTTTTTAATCTATAACAAGAGGAGCAATAATCTCACACACCCGTTAAGATTATAGCAGACATGCTTATATTTACGGCATGATCTTCTTGCACCATAATAAATTCCAATCACTTTACTCTATTTTAAGATTTTCAAGAATAAAATAACTATATTGACTTCCCTCACATCCGCTTAGAACAGAAAAATTATGTTCGAATTTAGAAAAAAAAACCAGTAAAGTCGGACTGGGCCGACTATATGATACCCTTAACCACTTAGGGTATATTCTGCATATGAATCCTAATAGATGTCGCGTTTCGAAGAACATTGACGTGATATGGAACGAACTTAAATATGTGATCTTTATCTATATTTAAACCGACTAACACATGCCATTCTGCAACCTATGCTAAATTTTGTAAATCGATTTAAAGCAAACTTGACACACGACAGACCATCAGACACCCATTGCTTATTTAGTGTACAGTCAACATGAATACAACGAAATTATATATGTAAGATATGCTATATCTAAATCCGAATCGATTTCAAGGAAATTTGCCATCGATTAATTTATACAAACTTCAGTACGCTGTGTCTATCGGCCTAGTTATGGGACATTAGTGCACTATTTACTTAAAATATATAAGGGAGGGAGCTGCATCTACATCTGAACCGATTTTCACGAAACTTTTCACACATCATTATAGACCTAATTCATTACGCTGTGCCCAATTTCTGCACATCGAAAGATATATAGGGACTATAGTGCACCATTTACATTAAATCGGACGAAAATATGAGAGCTATATCTAAATCTGAACGGCTTTTCACGAAATTTAGCACACATCGTTCTAGACTCAGTTCAGTACTCTATACCAAATTCCGTGCACACTGAAAGATTTACATTAAATCGCACGAAAATATATATGGGAACTATATCTAAATCTGAACCGATTTTCACGAAATTTAACACACATCGTTCCAGACTTAATTCAGTACGCTATGCCAAATTTCGTGCAAATCGAAAGATATATAGGGACTTTGTTGCACCATTTACCTTAAATCGGACGAAAATATATATGGGAGCTATATCTAAATCTGAACCGATTTTGATATGGTTCGCCCTTGGGCCAAATAAATGAGCTGTGCCAAATTTCATCCAATTCGTATCAAAAATGCAACCAGTACTATGATTACATTTTTACATGGACAGACGGGCGGACATGCATAAATCGATTTAAAAAGTGATTCTGTGCATGATTCTATGCAAATTCTCAAAAGGAACCATGTTTCTATCTCGATTCCTTTTGTCTGTTACAAACATATGCACAAAGACATAATACCCTGTACCACAGTGTGGTGAAGGTTATAAAAAGGTATAAAAATACCAAATTTCAGCAAATTGGGTTGAAAACCGGGACCCCACAAGGACCCCGAATTACCGAAAATTGGGGGGTACCCTTATATGGGGGCTATCCGAAAAAATAGACCTATATTCATAATTTTTTGTGGTTAGATTTGGTACCTATTAAGAACTCAAAACCCCCAAAATACTGAAAATTAGGAGGTAACATTATATAGGGGCCAGCAGAAAAAGTGGACTTATATTTATAGCGTGATAACAACAGACGGTAAATCATATTGCTTATCCAGCCGTAATCTAAATTTCAGAATTTCCACTCTATTATATAACCAAAATGCAAATTGTACCAAATTTAGTACCCTATAAGCACGAATTTTCAAAACCACCTCAATCTTGCAAAACTTTCTGAATCCCACCGCTACCATTCACACAAATTCAACTTGTACCATATTTCGAACCATTTATTACTATTCGTACCCATAATCCCATATCTGTACCCATATCTATTCACACAAATCCAAATTGTACCATATATAGCACTATTTAGTACTTTTCGTATCCATAATTACGAATTTCCTTAACTTTCTCAATCTTAATTTCACGTTTCCATTTCTATTCGTTCAGTCAAATCTGAATTGTACTAAATGGTACTAAACATTTAGTACACAGAATTACGAAATTTCAAAACTATCTCAATGTTGCAAAACTTTCGGAATCCCAGCGTTACCATTCACACAAATTCAATTTGTACCATATTTAGTACCATTTAGTATTTTTCGTACCCATAAGTAGTAATTTACAAAACTCAAACTTACACTCCAACAATAATTTTAATTCAAAATTTCAGGATCTCAGCCCTCTATCCGTTCACACAAATGCTAATTGTACCATATATAGGTGTATTTAGTACTTTTTATACCCATAAGTACGAGTTTTCTTAACTATCTCAATCATGTTTCTAGCAGTAATCGTAATTTCAGGTTTCCATTTCTATTCCTTCAACCAAATCTGAATTTTACCAAGTTTAGTACAAGTTTTGGTACACAGAATTACCAAATTCCAAAACTACCTCCATGTCTCAATCCTACATTCCATCACTAGTTTTAATTCCAATGTTCAGGATTCCAGCCCTATCCGTTCACACAAAAACAAATTGTAAAGTATTTAGTACCATTTAGTACTTTTCGTATACATAAGTACGAATTTCCTAAACTACCTCAATCCTACACTCCAATATTAATTTTAATTCAAATATTCTGGAGTCTAGCTCTATCCGTTCACACATAATCAAGTTGTACCAAACATAGTTCCATTTAGTGTACACAAGTACTATATTTCCATACGTTGATTTCCCACTTCAACGGCATCGATTTGTATTCCAAATTTTAGATTTCCAGCTGTCTGCCTTCATCCACGCTTTCTCTATAGCTCATTCCTCAACATTAATCTTAATTCGAAATTACAGGTTTTCAGTTCTATCCGTTCAACCAAAATCCAAATTGTACTAAATTAAGTATCATTTAGTACCCACAAGTATGAATTTCCTAAACTATATTAATCCTACCCTCCAACAATCATTTTATTCCCAATTTCAAGACTCCAGCTCTAAATCCAACTTGTATATGTATACAATTTCAAGATTCTAGCTATATATGTTCAATATATATACAATTAGACCTAAGTTTAGTACTTTTCGTACACTTGTATGTCGTATTTCCAAAATCCCTTTTGTACATCTTTCTAACTTTTCATCAGTGAAAATTTCGGAATTCTAGATCTTCTTGTTTGCCTAATACAACGGGTACCATATTTAGTACATTTTAGTACTTGTCGTACCCTTCTATTACGATATTTCCATAAACCGAGCCTTATCACAAAATCGATATGGCTAATTCAGCTGTTTAAATCCTACTTGTAGTCTGGGAAGGAGAATCTTCTTATTCCCAATCAGTAAAAGTAAAATATTCTCACTTTTCCAATCAGAATTGTTCCATTTTTTCTAAACCACAGGCACACAAGAAAATCCCTTTGTACATACCACACAATTGCATTACATCTGGTAACACTCTCTCCATAAGCATCAAAAATTTTCTCACGTTACAAAAACAAAGTGCAGCAACGACCGACAACAACAAAAATAACAACACAGCACAGCGCACACATACACCTCCCACCCCCTACAAACACAAAAAATTACGGAAGGTGATGGCATGCACAATTATGCCGCAAATATACTATTGAATGGGTGTTTGCAAAGGCCAAACAGCCCAGCAAGGAAAGGAATTAATACCAATAAGATTACACAAATTCCATTAATGGAGTTTTTATTTTTTTATCACTTATTTAACAATAATAAATATCCATGAACTTACCGATTTTACTGCCTGATGCTCCCATATTATTACTTCGTTATGGGGTTCTTTGAGGGTCAACAGCAGTTGTAGAACAAGGAAAAAAAGCTCACCACAAAATTTCACTCTTGTTTTTTAGAACTTATCAACTAATATTTGACACTTTTCACAGACATATCACTTCTATTACACTTTTCTTTAATTAACTGTTTCGTCTTGAAGGAGTTTTTCTTCGTTTTATGAATATTTTATCATTTTCTTTGGGGTCTGTCGTTGTCGTCGATAAAAAAAACAACAAAATTTCACACAACAATTCATTCACACATGCACGATTTCAAAACACCATACAATTGGGAGTTAGAGATAGGCGAATAGGCAGTGTAGTGGTACAAAAAGTACAAAATTTTGTACTTGTGTGGGTTGTGTTGTTTATCCAATGATAAAACCAGCAGTGAGCGAGCGATTATTGGTTGTTTGTTATCGATAACAAGGCACATGTAACATATGCAGCTGACAGCAATGCATGTTATCATCTCATGTTGAATAGTAAAATGCGTAAAGGGAGTAAGAAGAAGAATATGGGTGGTTAGTTGTAAATGGGAACTTAAAACAAAAAATCCTTTTTTAATAATATTTTATATATATTTTAACTCCAAAGAAGCGTAGATTTTTAATGATATATATTTTTTAAATTTTTAAAGAATATTTTTTCAAGGCTAGACAAGTCGTAGATTTTTTAAAGAATATTTTTTCCCGGCTAGACAAGGCGTAGATTTTTTAAAGCATATTTTTTCAAGGCTAGACAAGGCGTAGATTTTTTAAAGCATATTTTTTCAAGGCTAGACAAGGCGTAGATTTTTTAAAGCATATTTTTTCAAGGCTAGACAAGGCGTAGATTTTTTAAAGCATATTTTTTCAAGGCTAGACAAGGCGTAGATTTTTTAAAGCATATTTTTTCAAGGCTAGACAAGGCGTAGATTTTTTAAAGCATATTTTTTCAAGGCTAGACAAGGCGTAGATTTTTTAAAGCATATTTTTTCAAGGCTAGACAAGGCGTAGATTTTTTAAAGCATATTTTTTCAAGGCTAGACAAGGCGTAGATTTTTTAAAGCATATTTTTTCAAGGCTAGACAAGGCGTAGATTTTTTAAAGCATATATTTTCAAGGCTAGACAAGGCGTAGATTTTTTAAAGCATATTTTTTCAAGGCTAGACAAGGCGTAGAATTTTTTAAGGAATATTTTTTTACATTTAATTAATTTTTTAAGGTTAGTCATTGCGAATATAAGCTACATAAGCGGGGATTTTTTAAAGAATATGTTTTTAAGGCTATATAAGTGTGGATTTTTTAAAGAATATTTTTCTGGGGCTATCTATATAAGATTGGATTTTTTAAAGCAAAATTTTCCAGGGCGTGGATTTTTAAATAATTCTAAAGGGTTAAGAACAATGTTCACGTCGTGGATTTTTTTCTTAAAGGCTAAGCTGAATGCTCGCGTTGAGCCATCCGTCGCGTTATATGTTATCGAAAATACAACAACCACATAGAAACGATAATCGTTAGTGTTATCGTTTGAACTAGGATAAAGCCAATCGGTGAAAAACTTTGAAGTGACGGAGGATATTTTAGGCATAAGTATAAAAGATAGATTAAAAACCAGTGAGCGGAGCAGTATAGTCGGACGGGGCCGATCATATGATATCCTGCACAACTTCTACGTAAAATTGACTTCCTGTAGCTCTATATTCTGAGCTTGAGCAATATTTGCAACCTCTTGACCAACTAGAGGTCAACAAATATTACAAATATTCAGTACAGCCCTTCTAATTACTTGCCCAGATTCTTTCACCGTAGGTTGTGCTGTGGTGTGAGTCTATAGGCCAGACTTCAAAAACACAACAAATTAAGTTTTCGGCCATCCCAATATTATTATCTGACCATCACCGAAAATTATCGGCGTTGTTCTTGGCCATAACTGGAACCTCATGGAACATTTCAAAGCGATCACCGCTATATTTCCGACCTTAAGTGTGGTAATGGTTTACTAAATAATATTTGAATACCTAAACACCTGTTAATACCTAAGTAAATACGACAATATAATTGGTATCAATTTATTTGAATCCGCATCATAATTTTGAGGCATTCACATCAGCAGGAAATAAATATATTGCAAAAAATTAAAAATTTATAAACAATTTGGAAAACTTTCTTCAGTTCAAGCATTAGAGCTCAATCAGCCTTAATTAAATCATCACGGAAGTAATCCTTGCAAGCATCGAGACTTTGACCGACATATCATCAGCTTCAAAATGACGGCCAAACGTTTTTGGTGATTCACCGGGTAATGTGTTCAATTTTAACCCAAATCTCTTGACATTTGCGAGCCGTTTCCAATTATTTGTGATTTGATTTGATTGAGCTGACAATGTCAATATCGACCGGCACACAAATCGGTGTACCAACTATCACAATGCCATTTTCGACCATTACACCCATGACAATGGGGTCACGACTTTTAAAGATGAACTGGGGCAGGGGAAGACGGCAATTGATTGACATTTTTCAAATAAACCACGCAAAAAGAAAAAAATTAAAATAAAAAAAAATATATAATAATTTCATACTATCTCAAACTTCACTTTGGTTACCATATTTTTCAAAATAATTAACATTGCTGTTAAGTATTTTTTTGGTGAGAGAACTTTAAAAAGTGCATTTTCCATTAAAATGTGTAGCCCTCTATAACACAAATTTGACACTAATATTGGAAAATGCGTTTTGTCCAGTCTTTACGATTGTATGTCTTTGCAGTTGATTAAATATTTAATCTTTATTATTTTAGATTATTCGTGTTTAACACAACATGTCTGTCCCAGAATCTTCATTAATGTACAAATTTTTCTACCATTTCGCGTACAGCTAGAATCTACTAATTTTTAACAAGAAAACAATTTTTGCTTTATGAGATTAAAAAAAAAGTAAAAACTAGTAGATTCTTGCAGTACGGGACAACATATTTTTTATTTATATATGTGGTATGTTCCCTTGCACCAAGAATCTACTAATTTTTACTATTTTTGTTCATATCATAAAGGAAAAATTTTTTATTATTGCAAGTTCTGGAACAAATCAATTTTTTTATTTTTTTTTTTCTTTAAAAAGCTGAAAAAAGGCCTCCACTATCCCTAAAATTCCTTTTATCTTTAATGTCCCACATAGAAACTCAATTAATCGATTAGTTATAAATCGAACTACATAACCCTATACACTCGTTGACAACACGTTGAAACAGCTGTTGTCAGCAGCTGGTTGGTCCACGGCTCGTTTGTTTTTGTTTTGAACCCCATTCGCCTCGGATGGTCCTCGTCACGTTCACTTTGACCTCATTCGTAAACACGAGATATTCCCTCGTCTCGTTTGCTTTCAATTTCATTCGCCACTGATGGTCCTCGTCTCGTTTGCTTTCACCTCAGTTTACAGGGTTGTAATTGGCAAACTCTTGTGAGCAACTCTTGCTGGCTGGACTGCAAACAGAGGACGCGTGTCATAAACCGAGGAAAAAAGTTAAATAAAACTGCGAAATAGTGTCAAAAAAGTGAAAAATTTATAGAAATTCAAACGGAAAAAGAAACCAAGTAAATGTGCAGCGTAACAGGGATCCAACGGAGATAGAAACACACTCGGTTTGTATTAATTTGCTAAAAAATGGCGGATCCCTTGAGTTTGTTGCGGCAGTACAACATAAACAAACGAGAAATCATCGAACGTGATGGACAGATTATATTCGGTGAATTCTCCTGGCCAAAAAATGTGAAGACAAATTATTTGAAATATGGGTAAGTTGGCAGGAGGGGAGGAGGTGATTTTCGGATAAAATGTAATGGTGTTTTGTTTTCCCAAATAGTTCTGGCAAAAAGGCCGGACCACGAGAATACTATACGCTCGAGTGTTTGCTGTATTTGCTGAAAAATGTTTTGCTACAGCATTCGGTGTATGTGCGTCAGTGTGCCGCCGAGGATATACCCGCAGTCAATCGTCCCGATCGTAAAGAGCTGCTGGCCTATCTGAATGGCGAAACCAGCACCTGTCCCAGCATTGATAAAAGTGCACCCCTTGAAATACCCACTCAGGTGAAACGTCCCGCCGATGGTGATTCAGCCGGCGGTGAGGGTCTGGCCAAAAAGGCCCGCTTCGAAGATACCCAAGTGCAAAAGGTACGTGAACAATTGGCTGCGCGCTGGGATGTCAACAAAAAAGAGGCCACCGTCAATATGGACAACATCAAGTCGTTGTCCGAAACAATGTCAGTGGAAAAAATTGCCGCCATTAAAGCAAAACGTTTGGCCAATAAGAGAACAACCATTAAACGTTCCGATAATGAGGATGCCATGGCCACAGATTTGCGAGCAATTTTAGATTTTGATGTTGATTCGACAAAGGATATTATAAGTCGTGAACGACAATGGCGTACTCGCACCACAATACTACAAAGTACTGGTAAAATATTTGCCAAGAATATTTTTGCCATTCTTCAGGGTATAAAGGCGAGGGAGGAGGGTCGCAATCGGCCCATACAACAGAATCCAATTAAAATGCCCGAACCGGCGAGAATTAATAAACCGCAACCACAGCTAACACAATATAATCGTTACGATCAGGAAAGATTTAATCGACAAAAGGAGGGTGAGTCAACGAGGAGGAGATTTATCGATGCTGAATTTATTATTAATTGTTTTTGTTTGCTTGTTTTTTTAGAAACCGAGGGCTTCAAAATCGATACTATGGGTACCTATCATGGTATGTCACTGAAATCTGTAACTGAAGGATCTCAGGCCCAGCGCAAGGCACAAATGACACCACAAATTGGTAAGTTATACAAAAAAGCGGATTTTAAAATAATATTCTTAAAACTAATTTGAAAATGGAAAAGCTGACGCGAAAAATTATTGGATGGGAACAAAGTTATTGAAAACGCTAAATTTTTTTCAAAAAATAAGTTCCAAAAGTGGAGACTTTTTCAAATTAGCTTGGGAAATAATTTTCTTGACTACTAAAAATCATTAAAAATCCATCCGAGCCATTTTGAAATATAATGAAACCGAGAAAGCGTGTATTTTCAACGTTTGGTTAGTGGAGACTTTCAAATTTCACGATAAAAATTTCTGAAATATTTTTTTATGAATCGTAATTAAATTTTAAGGCATTTCCAGTAGTTTTTAAAAAGTCTCCAAAGGTGGAGACTTTTTAAAATTGCACGGAAATTGTTTTTTTTTATCGCTAAATATGATTAAAAATTCTTCTGAACAAATTTGAAATGAAATAATCTTGAAAAAAATCTGTAATTTCCGCATTTATGTAGTGGAGACTTTCAAATGGCACGATAAAAATTTCAAAAATAATTTTTTTATGAATTGTAATTAAATTTTAATGCATATCCAGCAATTTTTAAAAAGTCTCCACTTTTGGAGAATTTTTAAAAATTGCACGGAAAATGTATTTTTTGATCGCTAAAAATCATTAAGAATTCTTTTGAACAAATTTGAAATGAAATAATCTTGAAAAATTCTGTAGTTTCCGCATTTAGGTAGTGGACTTGCAAATTTTCAGAACGTATATTTTTTTAAGAATATTTTCCATAGTTTTTTTAAATGCGTAGATTTATATAAAAAAATGTTGTTTTAAAGATTATTTTTTGAAGACTATCCAAAAGAAAAAATACAAAATTATCGAAATGTGAAAAATCTAAAATTTTAACAAAAGTGGCGCCCAACATGGTACTAGCTTTACATAACAGCTAGTAACAGCTAATTACCTAAAAATACAAAATTATTAAATTTCAAAAATTCTTACAATTTAATTGAAGTGGCGCCCAACTTGGAACTAGCTATGCATAACAATTTTCTGTAAATTCGATTTTGTGAATAACAAAAATTACCTACGTGGGACTACGCTATGCATAAAAATGTTATGTAAAATCAATTTTGTGAATAACAAAAATAACATAAAAATACAAAATTAATAAATTTCTAAAATTTAACTAAAGTGGCGCCCAACGTGGAACTAGCTATGCATAAAAATACATAATTATTAAATTTCCAAAATTCTTAAATTTCCACTAAAGTGGCGCCCAACGGAGTGGAATCTCCTTCGGAATAAAATTTAATGTAAAATCATTTTTGTAAATAACAAAAATTAACTAAAAATACAAAATTATTAAATTTCAAAAATTCTTAAAATTTAATTAAAGTGGCGCCCAACGTGAAACCAGCTATGCATAACAATTTTTTGTAAAATTAGTTTTGTGAATAATAAAAATTACCTAAAAATACAAAATTATTAAATTTCAAAAATTCTTAAATTTCCACTAAAGTGGCGCCCAACGTGAGGCCTTTGAGATTTTTAATTTTTTGATATTGAAAAAAATAATTTTTTTTAAGAATATCCAAGCCATAGATTTTTAAAAATTATTTTTTGAAAAACTGTTTATGATGTAGTTTTTAGAAAAATTATTATTTTTTAAGACTAACCAAGGCGTCGACTTTTTTTTAATATCCAAGCCTTAATTTTTTAAATGATTTTCTTTTGGAGACTATTTAATTTTAAATCTTCCTATTTTTTATTTTATCAGGCCGCCCCAAGGAACTATTGCCCACGGCACAGGCCCGCCAGGTAGCACCCACACCACAAAAACGTGTATCACGTACACCCATCATTATTATACCCTCGGCTAATACTAGTCTCATAACCATGTACAATGTTCGTGATATATTGCAAGATTTGAAATATGTTAGTACCGATGAAAAGAAACGGGCTGGCTGTACCAGAGATAATGAAGTACTCTTGCAGGTAAGCCTCTCCACATCTCCCCCCCAAATTATATACCTCTCCTAATCGGGATTTTATTCTTCTCATCCTCTGCTAGCGCAAGAAACAAAATATGACGGTACCCTATCGTGTCATTGATAATCCACAAAAATTAACTGCCCAAGATTGGCAACGCGTTGTTGCCGTATTTGTTATGGGACCTGCTTGGCAGTTTAAGGGTTGGCCCTGGGATGGTAATCCCGTTGAAATTTTCTCCAAAAGTAAGTGCAGCTTTTTTGTGGTAATATTTCCTAGAGAAAATTTGATATATTTAAAATTTATTTTTATTTCATTTTTGCAGTTTGCGCCTTTCATTTGCGTTTCAGTGAACTTAAGTTGGATGCCAATGTGGCCAAATGGTCTGTTACACTACTGAATCTATCACAGAATAAACGGCATTTAGATCGGGCAGTATTAATGACATTTTGGGAAACATTGGACAAGTAAGTTTGACCTTCAAAAAAATATTGAACATGTTTTTAATTCCAATCTTCCTCTTTTTTGCAGATATATGGCAAAATATAAAGCTGACTTAAGATATTGAACACATATAGAGAAACATATGGGCCTGTGTTGTTTTGTTGTTCTTTCATGTTGTTATTTAAATCGAATATGATGATTATGCTTGATGATGACTTGAAAAGCCGAAAACAAAAATAAACACAATGAAAGATCAAATCAACAATCAATTTTTTAGTAGTCAACATTCTCCGATCCTACTCCAACACTTTTTTAGTTTTAGTTGTTTCTTAAATTATTACAATTCAAATGGAAGCAAACTGTAGTATAGTAATAACAACAATGAAACTATTACAACTCTCCAACGTCCCCTCCTCCCCAAAAATGATATATCTATATATAAAACATTAAATGCATCCTAATTTGAATGTGGTACATTATCGTTTAACATTTTGTTAAGCAATGAAACAAATTAGTAATTCTTTTTTTGTATAAACAAAATTAAACTATAAAACAAACAACAACATAATATAATTTAAATTTAAAATAAATACAAAAATGTTTTATAAAAGAAAATGTGAAAAAATTATTGGATTTTTATTTCAATGACTGTCGTCCAAAGGGTTGGTTTTTAAAGAATATTTTTTTAAGGGATCTACACAGAGCGCAGATTTTTTAAAGAAGATTTTTGCAAGGGCCAACATAAGGCGTAGATTTTTTAAAGAATTTTTTCCAAGGCCTTCAAAAGGCGTAGATTTTATAAAGAATTTTTTCAAGGCCTTCACAAGGCGTAGATTTTTTAAAGAATTTTTTTCAAGGCGTAGATTTTTTAAAGAATTTTTTCCAAGGCCTTCACAAGGCGTAGATTTTTTAAAGAATTTTTTTCAAGGCGTAGATTTTATAAAGAATTTTTTCAAGGCCTTCACAAAGCGTAGATTTTTTAAAGAATTTTTTTCAAGGCCTTCAAAAGGCGTAGATTTTTTAAAGATTTTTTTTCAAGGCCTTCACAAGGCGTAGATTTTTTAAGGAATTTTTTTCAAGGCCTTCACAAGGCGTAGATTTTTTAAAGAATTTTTTTCAAGGCCTTCACAAGGCGTAGATTTTTTAAAGAATTTTTTCAAGGCCTTAACAAGACGTAGATTTTTTAAAGAATTTTTTCCAAGGCCTTCACAAGGCGTAGATTTTTTAAAGAATTTTTTTTCAAGGCCTTCACAAGGCGTAGATTTTTTAAAGAATTTTTTTCAAGGCGTAGATTTTATAAAGAATTTTTTTAAGGCCTTCACAAGGCGTAGATTTTTTAAAGAATTTTTTCAAGGCCTTCACAAGGCGTAGATTTTTTAAAGAATTTTTTTCAAGGCCTTCACAAGGCGTAGATTTTTTAAGGAATTTTTTTCAAGGCCTTCACAAGGCGTAGATTTTTTAAAGAATTTTTTTCAAGGCGTAGATTTTATAAAGAATTTTTTCAAGGCCTTCACAAGGCGTAGATTTTTTAAAGAATTTTTTTCAAGGCGTAGATTTTTTAAAGAATTTTTTCCAAGGCCTTCACAAGGCGTAGATTTTTTAAAGAATTTTTTTCAAGGCGTAGATTTTATAAAGAATTTTTTCAAGGCCTTCACAAAGCGTAGATTTTTTAAAGAATTTTTTTCAAGGCCTTCAAAAGGCGTAGATTTTTTAAAGATTTTTTTTCAAGGCCTTCACAAGGCGTAGATTTTTTAAGGAATTTTTTTCAAGGCCTTCACAAGGCGTAGATTTTTTAAAGAATTTTTTTCAAGGCCTTCACAAGGCGTAGATTTTTTAAAGAATTTTTTCAAGGCCTTAACAAGACGTAGATTTTTTAAAGAATTTTTTCCAAGGCCTTCACAAGGCGTAGATTTTTTAAAGAATTTTTTTCAAGGCCTTCACAAGGCGTAGATTTTTTAAAGAATTTTTTTCAAGGCCTTCACAAGGCGTAGATTTTTTAAAGAATTTTTTTCAAGGCGTAGATTTTATAAAGAATTTTTTTAAGGCCTTCACAAGGCGTAGATTTTTTAAAGAATTTTTTCAAGGCCTTCACAAGGCGTAGATTTTTTAAAGAATTTTTTTCAAGGCCTTCACAAGGCGTAGATTTTTTAAGGAATTTTTTTCAAGGCCTTCACAAGGCGTAGATTTTTTAAAGAATTTTTTTCAAGGCCTTCACAAGGCGTAGATTTTTTAAAGAATTTTTTTCAAGGCCTTCACAAGGTGTATATTTTTTAAAGAATTTTTTTTTCAAGGCCTTCACAAGGCGTAGATTTTTTAAAGAATTTTTTTTCAAGGCCTTCACAAGGCATAGATTTTTTAAAGAATTTTTTTTTCAAGGCCTTCACAAGGCATAGATTTTTTAAAGATTTTTTTTTCAAGGCCTTCACAAGGCATAGATTTTTTAAAGAAATTTTTTTTCAAGGCCTTCACAATGCGAAGATTTTTTTTAATTTTTTTCAAGGCCTTCACAAGGCATAGATTTTTTAAAGAAATTTTTTTTCAAGGCCTTCACAAGGCATAGATTTTTTAAAGAATTTTTTTTTTCAAGGCCTTCACAAGGCATAGATTTTTTAAAGAATTTTTTTTTCAAGGCCTTCACAAGGCATAGATTTTTTAAAGAATTTTTTTTCAAGGCCTTCACAAGGCATAGATTTTTTAAAGAAATTTTTTTTCAAGGCCTTGATAAGGCGTAGATTTTTTATAGATTTTTTTTTCAAGGCCTTCACAAGGCGTAGCTTTTTTAAGGTTTTATTTCCAAGAGCCTACACATGGCGCAGATTTTTTAAAGAATTTTTTTCAAGGCGTAGCTTTTTTAAAGAATTTTTTTCAAGGCCTTCACAAGGCGTAGATTTTTTAAAGGAATTTTTTTCAAGGCTTTCACTAATAGATTTTTTAAAGAATTTTTTTCATGGCCGTATACAACGAGCAGATTTTTTAAAGAATTTCTTCAAGGTCCTACACAGGGCGTAGATTTTTTAAAGAATTTTTTCAAAGGTGAAGGAAAATATACCTTTTAAACCTTGCTGAATGGAAATTTTTGTAAAGGAATAGGATAAATTTTCTCAAATTTTGGTTTCTTTAAAGTAAATGAGTATTTCAATATGCTAAAAAGACAGCTGAATTGTGTTTTCTGTAGCTGATTAGTGAAATTCTTATCAAATTCAGTTAAATTTGCTTTTTCCCCCACTTTTTTTATTAAGAAAACCTTTGTTGAATTGTGATTTTCGTAGCTGAATATGACAAAATTTAACTCTAATGAAATCTCGTATGCCTAGTGGTCCTGTTGCATTAAAAATATTCCAGCGGAATTACAAATTAACCTCGCTGAATTGCATTTTTCATAGCTGAATAGGCGAATTTTTGTCAAATTGATATTTATTGAAGGAAAGTATGTATTTTAGAGCCTTTTGACCTTTTCGTAGCTGAATAGAAACATTTAGGTACATTTCTATGAAAAAAATATTTTTTTAAATTTTTAATCTTTGCTGATTTGCATTTTTCGTGGCTGAATAGGCGAAATTGTCACAAATTTATATTTATTGAGGAGAAATGTGTATTATAAAGCCTTTTAACCCTTGCTGAATTGTAATTATCGTAGCTGGATATACATATTTTTCTCGTATTTTAGTTTCTTTGAGGTAATAGGGCCTTCCACTCATTTGCTGAATTGTATGTTACCTAATTAAATATTGAAATTGTTATGAAAATTAGCTAAATTTCGATCTTTTCAACTTTTAAACTTTGCTGAATTACATTTTTCGTAGCTGAATTGCATTTTTTGAACTGTATTTGGTTAGTCTAATATGTTATATTTAATTTGTTGCAGAAAAAACAACTTTGCTGAATATATTTCGTTGTAGCTGAATTGTGAATTTTCTTCCCATCTCATCTATCCAATTGTTATTCAATTTTATATTGAACTAAATTTCAATGAAATTTTATTTATTTTATTTGTTGCTTGGCGAAGATTTTTTACGGAATTTTTTTCAAAGAATTTTTGAAGGCGTAAATTAAAAAAAAAATTCAAAGATTTTTTCAAGTTGTAAAGAATATTTTTTCTAGGCGTAAATTTTTTAAAGAATATTTTTTCGAGTGCCTACACAAATTTTTTTCGAGGTCTAGATAAGAAAAAAGTTGAAAGATTTTTTCAAGGCCTAAATAAAAAATTTGGATTTTTTAAAAGCCTATATTGAAATAAATTAAGATTTTTTCAAGGTCTAGATTAAAAAAAAACATATCAACGATTTTTAAAGACTTTTTTTCAAAGCGTAGATTTTTCCGGAGATGTTTTCAAAAACTTTTCAGAACGTATATTTTTTAAATTATTGGTTTTTGAAAACTATCCAAGTCGTAGATTTTAAAATTATTTTGTTTTTTAACTAATTTTTTTTGGAGATTTAAAAAAATTTTTTTTTTTAGTTTCTTAAAAGACCATTTTTTAAGTTTTTAAAGAATAATTTTTTGAAAAATTTTCAATATTTTTTAATTTTCTTTTATTTACTTCTCTTATATTTTTAATTTCGGAAAACATTCACATTACATTAATAACAATTAAAAAATAAAAGCAATAATAAAATCTAAATCTTATACAAAAAAAAATCATTATTAAATATCTGGCTGGGACACACTACTATGGTTTGGAATTGTCGTTGGTTTGACTTGCGCCTCAAACTGTTTCAATATTAAACCGCACCAATTTGTATTATGGGTAAAAATAGTCTAAAGGCATTTTCAATTTGTTGCCGGGCCTGTACCATTTCGGTAAATATTGTGGTTATGTTTGTTTTGGCCTCCTCTTGTTGTTCTTGCGGCGATTCCCGATTACTTAGATGGCTGGCAAAACGATTTGCCACCACTTGTAAATGTATATTAAATTGTCGACACAGTTGGACAACGCCATCCACTTCATTTGCTGTACTGTGATGTTCCTGAATCAGAAGTAATTCGGCAATTTTATGTAATTTTAAAATTTCCAGTGCACACGTTTCGGCTAGGGTGGTAACTGCTTTAGCGAAAATTGGTTGTACTTCGGCGCTGTGGGATTCTTCGGATGCGAACCAGGTAAGGGTTGTGGACCATAAGCTGGAAGAGAAAAATAAATTTAAAACAAATTCAAAGCCAATTCCAAAATACCCTCAAATTAATATTTTCCCTAATTTTTGATTTACTCACTTTGTAATTTCATCAAAGCCTATCTTCAGTTCTGTGTCCTGTATGGCCTCCTTCAATTTGTCACTCAGTTCTTCTGCACTATATTCTTCCGTTTCCAGCTCCGCATCTAAATCTTCCAATTCCATTAATTCCTTAACCTCATTCAATGTTTCCAAGAGTTCTTCCAAAGCTTTACCGCTAACCGATTCCTTAAGGGTTTGGATTTTCAATTGCGACTCCTTGGAGAGTATTTCCAAAGCTTCCATATGCACCAGACCACAATTGTTCTCGAATAAGACCTCAAATCTTAACTGGGCTTTCATTTTTTCCAAATTTAATTCCTTCATGGACTGCTCCAACTGTTCGGTTTCTTTTTTGGCTTCCTTGAGGATCTGTAAGTGAGAGAAAAAAAATACATCAATAACAAAAATTGTTTTTTTTTTATTTTCCCCCATTTTCCTTTACCTCTGTCAAATTACATTTCTCCTTTTCCAATCCCAATTTCTTGATTTTATTCTTCAGCAGTGGATCATTTTCTTGTAAGATATTCATGGTCTTCTTGCCAATACCCTCCAGTGTATCTAGGCCGGTATTTAAAACTTTACTACCCAGGGATGTTACATTATTGACCAGATTTAAACCAAAAACAGGCACAGCCTTATTGGGGGTAATTGATCTTTCCTCCTCATCATTTTCATTGCCATCATCATTTGGTTTCACTTGTTGTTGCTGCTGTTGTTGTTGTGACTTAAGTCTTGCCTCCTCCGAGGCATTGATGCGGGCCATTTCCTCAGGATCTGGGACACCAATTACCTTGTCCAAGCTATTGGTCACAGTGCTTGTCAACTCGGTGGCAGTGCTAAGGACCGTGGACATGACACCACCAAACAAACTACCCCAACCACCACCGCCGCCACCTGCACTGGAAGTTTGTTTGACTGTTTCCTGACTCCGTTGTTGGGGTTGATTACAGTTTGTATCCCCTTTTTGCAGGACTTTGGGTGCAGTATTATTATTCTCCGCAACTGTTTTCTTACTGCACTGCTGCTGTTGCAGCTGATCACTGCCACTATTTGTTTTTGTTTCCTCTACCTTGTCTTCTGTGGGATTTTCTTCAGCATCACCCCAATCATCCCAATTATCATCGTCATCCAAATCCCAACCATTTTCATTGCTATCATTGGCATTAGATTCTAATTTGGTTGACATTGTCCCGGGCAGAAAAGAACTTCTCGAAGTTTCCAAAAATTGATAGATTCCTTGGACCCCTTGGACCGATGTGTGTTTGGTGTTATTTACGTGGAAGTTTGCAAAATAAGTATTTTTTCTTTTCCGGAAAAGAAATGAAAATGCAAAACAATTTTTCACGCAATAAATTTAACTTTTAACACGACAACAAAACACGTCACCTTCCTCCGACTGCAGAAATGAAAAACGAAACGTTCCACCTGTTACGAATGGGATGGGAAAGTCAAAATGCCCGGTAAAGAAGAAGTCAAAAAAGAAGACGGAAAGTTACGAATGAGGTGGGATGGAGACTAAAAAGGAGTTGCATTGTTTACGAATGAGGTTTAAAGGGAACAACAAGAGTAGCAAGGGTAGCTCACATTCAGAGCTTGCTAGTTACAACCCTATAAACGAGGTGAAAGAAAACGAGCCGAGGACCAATCTGGCGAATGAAGTTGAAAGCAAACGAGACGAGAACAAATTTCGTGTTTACGAATGACGTCAAAGCATATTTGATCAGCTGTTTGCATGGATGCTGGAGTTCAGTGTCCTTGGTAATATACTGTTACGCCGCTAAGGGCAATACTACTTTTTTTTTTTTTTTTTTTGTATTTTAAGTTATTGGCCCGCCTCCCGATTGTCGAGTGTTAACAGCGCCACCACCACAATACTACTTTGACAATTACAAAATAAAGTGACGCCGTTGAAAAGTGTAAAGTTGGAGTCTGGCAACGTAGTTCTGTGTCGTTATGACATTTACACTCTTTGACTGAGAGGGGGAAATAGCTCAAAATAAAGTGACGCGGTTGGGAGTCTGGCAATGTATTTCTTTGCCGTTATGACATTCTCTCTTTGGTTGAGTGGGGAAAGAGCTTAAAATAAAGTGACGCCGTTGAAAAGTTAAAAGTGGGATTCTGGCAACGTATTTATTGGCCGTTATGACATTTATTCCCTTTGGCTGAGAGGGGGAAATAGTTCAAAATAAAGTGACGCCGTTGGGAGTCTGGCAACGTATTTATAGACCGTTATGACATTTACTCGCTTTGGCAGTATGTAAATGGCGCGAAAATGTTGTTTAAGCGAATCCACATTAAGATGGTGTATTTTTATTTAAAAAAATTACAAAAATAGAACATAATTAATTTATAAATTTAAAAATCACAAAAAATATAATATAATCGAAACATATTTGATGTATTTGAGCTATGAGTGAAATCGAAGGCCCTACGATGCTGAAGAGTTTGAAATTTTGCATCTCGCGTACAAGGCACGGCAAAATTTAACCAATAAAGAAGGTATAATAGCCAAATTTAACGCAATAGATACAACATTGTACGGAAGGATTACACTATAATCTGTTATACACACAATTTTGTATGGTGAATGAGTATGTCCCCACAAAGAATAAGAGGAGACATTCTGATAAATCCGCCATTTCGCTCTAATCTAAGATGAAGAAGTCACTCTCGACTCCACCAACAAGGGTTACAAATTTTAATTATTTCAGTGATTTCCTACGTCGTTCAAGAGCCCGAGGGGGCACATCCAAGCCTTGTGCCCCAACCTACTCGGGCAGACAAGGAAGCTGTCAATGAGCCAAATTGCTTACTTAACCCTATCAAAAATTAGTGGTCACAATGTCGGATGACGACTCCTCCCACGAGTACCCTATAGTAGCTTCCATCATGTTTATCCACCATTCTAAATTACGCTATCAAAGCTAGAATTGAAAATATGCAGATAAGAGTCCGCACATCACATGGATCTACTTGCGCTCCCCACAGATTATTTCGACCTATAGAAGTGGTTGACTCTCTACAATTTCCAAAATAACTAACATATCTAACACCTCATCCAAATTTGTCCCTCCCCAATAACAATCTTTGGAATAATTATAAAACATAGATTGAAATTTCCAGTGAGGAGGTTTTCAATGTCCTTTCTATTATCCTATGATCACATATTTTGTGTGTAAGCTCTACAACAGTACTTCATCAAGCCGCTCCAATCAATTTTTCCCACCTACATCTATTCTAAATTTTACACAGTTCCATCCATCAATAACAAAATGAACAAAACACACACACACAATTTTAGTTTTTAGGGTTTTTTACGGTTTTTTTATCTAGTTTTATTGTTTTTGTTTTGAATTTAGTTAGCAATTGTGGTTTTTCTTATTTGTTTTGTTTATCTCTTCTTTTTTTTAAATTTCAAGTTAAAACATTTATATTTAATTTTGTTTTTGTTATTAAAGATTATTTGAAATTATTTTTTATGTGATTCTAAATTTGTTGTTGTTTTAAGACAAAAATTTGCTTTTTGTGAGAATTTTTTTTGCAAGTAAAATTAAACAAAATATGGTTTTTGAAAATAATCATATTGCTATAAAAGAGCATAAATTTCATTTGCATTTGTTTTTGAATATTTTGTTGTTGTTGGGATTGTGGTGGATTTGTTTTTAAGAATAAGAAATTATATAGGTATTTTAAAGTTGTTTTTAGTAATAGATTTAAAAAAATTGCAGCATTTATATTCATTTTCTTGTTGTGTTGAATTCTTTTCTATTTTGTTAGGAAACAACTAATTTGTAAATAATTGTAATAGTGAAGAAAAAAAAGAAAAGTTGAATTTTTGTGTTGTTTTTATAAATAAAATATTTTTTCATATTTATATTTTTATATATATATTCTTGTAATATATGTTATGCATTTCAAAAAAAAAAAAAAAAAAGAATTTTGTTTTTGTTTCATATTGTTGATTTTTGGGATTTTTCCGTTTTTTGTATTTTCTTTTCGTTTGTATTCTGATATTTTTTTTGTTTTGTTTATATTTATTGGATCAACTATGTATTATTTTATTTATTTTCTATATATAATATATTCAATGTGTTTGTTTTTGTTTTTCATATTTTTTTGTTTTCTTTAAATTCTATTATCATCTCTCTCCTCTTTTCTCCTCTGTGTGGTTGTGGTTTTTGTGGGCGCACACATCATTTAATTGCCCCACCAATCGGGACCAGATGAAGAATTTCCTCCATAATTGCCACCATCATTGCCGTAGCTGTTATAGTAGGAATTGCCATTGCTACGGTAGGAGCCGCCGCCGCCTCCACCACCACCGCCTTGATTGCCGGATGAACGATTGTTGCTGCTGCGACCGCCGCCGCCACCACCAGACTGTTGACGGTAATCGCGGGATCCAAAACCACCGCCATAACGACCACCACCACCTCCACGACGCTTGTTGCCACCATGTGAACGTTCCGAAGCCATCATATCTTCCAAGAAGCTGGGCAACTCTTGTTTCGTTTCAATCAACAACTCCACCAAGTCGGCACAAATGTTACGATTCTTTTCGTTAAAGAATGAGGTGGCTACACCCAGGTTACCCATACGTCCGGTACGACCAATACGATGTACATATTCCTCTACATCGGAGGGCAAATCGAAGTTAATGACATGCTTTACATGGGGAATGTCTAAGCCACGAGCAGCCACGGCAGTGGCCACCAATATGGGACAATCACCAGAACGGAAACAACGCAGGGCTTCCTCACGCTCCTTCTGGGTACGATCACCATGGATGCTGGTGACTGGGTGATTACATTGATACAAGAACTCCTCCAAAGCATCGGCTCCCTTTTTCGTCTCAACGAAAATCAACGTCAACGAATCTTTCGAATATTCAGCGCCTGCCCTAATGGTTTCCAATAGATCGAGCAGATACGAACGTTTGTCCTGCTCATGTACCCACAAAATGGTTTGGGTAATATTCTCGGAGGTGGAACCGACACGGCCCACAGCCAAGAAAATGTAATTACTTAAGAAATCAGATGCTAGTTCTTGAATTTGTTTGGGGAACGTGGCGGAGAACATAAGCGTTTGGCGTTGTCCCCTGCCGGGCATATTCGAATCTTCAACAATACGTCTGATTTGAGGCTCGAAACCCATGTCCAACATACGATCGGCCTCGTCCAAGACCAAGAAACGAATGTTATCCAAACATACCTTGCCTCTGGTGATCATGTCCTCCAAACGGCCGGGTGTGGCCACAATCAAGTGGCAGCCGCGATCCAATTCGCGCATTTGTTCAGAAGTATTATTGCCGCCATACAACACTGCGGGACGCATACGCGAGCGATAGGCAAACTTTTTGGCCTCTTCGAAAATTTGTGTGGCCAATTCACGAGTTGGTGCCAGCACCAAACCCAATGGATACTGCTTGCGACGAGTGTAGCCACGAGTGTTCTGGGGTGGTGGCGGAATACCATGCTCATACATCTGATTCAATATCGGCAATAAGAAGGCAGCCGTTTTGCCTGAACCGGTTTGGGCGCAAGCCATCAAATCGCGTCCACTTATAATAATTGGGATCGCGTATTTTTGTACCGGTGTCGGTTTGTCATATCTAGCCATTTGTACATTATGGCGAATAATCTCTGTCAGCTGCACATCATCGAAGGATGTGATGTTGGCTGGGACATTTTTGCCCGTCGCTTCCACGGGTATATCCTCGTATTTGTCAAAATTGATGCCGGTATTACCGGTGCCGAAAAGCTCGGCTTCAAGGCGTTCATCGCGCGGACCCAACTTGGTATAATCAATATCGCCGCGGCGTTCTTCATTCCAGCGACCGCCATATCGGCGTTCGCCGCCACCTCTGTTGTTGCTGCCACCACCGGCGCTGGCATCGCCAGAGACGGAATCTGTGTCCTTGTTGCCATCATCAGGACGGCGTTCAGGTTCTTGCCAACGATTGTTGCGTGGCGGGTCATCACGTCGGTCACGACCGCCGTCGCCTCCGCGATAGTTCCTGCCGCCACCACCGTCTTCACGACGTTCAAAGTTGCGATTATTTTGAGATCTGCCTCCGCCGCGATTCCAGTCGTCACCACCGCGTCTTGAATCAGTATCACCTGAAATAGTTTGTAAAAGGAAAAAAATGTGGTTATGATGTGCACCTTGAAATTAGAAAATTCAAAA